TACCAATCACCACGTCACCCCAGAAATGGCCAGACCGACGGTCCGAAGAGGACGAAGTCGGCGGCGGCTTGGAAAGCCGGCCGGGCGGGAGCGCCACGGGGGGGGTCCACGCGGAGCGCTCGACGGAGACGCTGCTGCTGGAAGACACCCGCCGGGGCATCCGCCTGCAAGATGCGCCTGTCGCACTGGCACGGGATGACCGCGCCCACTGGAAAGACGAAGGGCCCGATCTGCGGACGAAGGCGTTCCGCGAAGTCAGCCGCCACAGGAAATAACGACTCAGAGCTCGAAGGCGAAACAAAATAAGAAAAACGTTGAAGTCGCTGCCGAACGCTGCAAAAAATGCCAGGGAGAGAACGATCAGGGCCACGATCACCTCGGCACGGCCTGTCCTCGGACAGGTGGAGCCGCATGACAATGACAACGAGAATGCCCCCCTCGCCCGTGCAATCCAAAACGTGAATTCCAGACGGCACCGCGCCGTCAGGCGCGTGCCTCGGATCGCGGAGTCGGGAGGGCACTACGCCCGCCTCCGCGCTCCATTTCACGCCCCCGAGTCCAGGTCGAACTGGTCGTTCGTCACCTGCACGCTCACCTTTGTGGGCCCCACCTGTATAAACTGGCCCGCGCAGGGCAGCGTGAAGGCGGGCCATGGCCTGAGCATCGGGAAGAAGAACACGTACACGTCCTCCTGCACCGCCGTGGACCTCAGCAGGAACATGCTCGTACTCGTAGTGCTTCAATATGTCCCTCCCGTGCTCTCCTGGAGCGCGAGGCCTGTGGCCGTAGCGGCGTGCGCGAGCAGCACTCTCATAACCTCCGCGCCCTCACGCCCCAATTCGCCACGAAGTGCGACCTCCGTGAGGTGATCGAGGACGGCGGGAGTGCGGTGAACTTTCCTGCGAGTGGCCGCCAGCGCCGCTGGAATCGCAGAAGGCGTGGCCACCTTGCGGCCGCCTCGGGACGGCTTCCAGCGCAGCCCTGTAGCTGCCGTCGAAGCGTCCGCCTGCAGCGCCTGGTCCATCACGGCCACCCACGTGTCGTTGCTGGCCTCCGTGAGGAGGAGGGCCTTCGTGGAGCTCAGCAGCAGGAGCTGGCTGCAGAGCGGCCAGAAGTGGTGGAGCCCCTTCGCGCTGACCAAGTCCAAAATGAGGGCGTCCGTGGCTGTGTACAAGGCCTGTGCGCCGAAGAATGTAGTCGAGGGGAGGCGTGGTCGGATGGTTTGGACGATCAGGGTCCGAAGGGACGACATCGATCACTACCCTCGGCATCTCTGTGGCGTGCGCAGGGCTACGCCGGGGGTAGCGCCAGGTTGCGTCCTGCAGGATGGGATCCCGCATGAGGATCGCGAAATTCATCACGTCCTCGGCCCTCATATCGGAAGACATCGGCTTGACATCCGCAATCTGCAGCAGGGGGGCCCTGTGCTGCAGCATCCTGGGCGGGTCGCACGCTCCAGCGAAGGCGATGGTGAAGACCGCCAGCCCCATGCATACGTGCCGTGGCGCGGTAGGACCAGGAAGGACCATGCCCAGCGGCTCAGCGGCTCGTCTGAGAACCGACGCCTCGGACCAGCGAGGCCCACTTGTCCCCGAGCAGCGGTGACCACCAGTTATCGAGAATGTGCTGGACGTCGTGTGCCCCATTGAAGAGCGGGAGCGGCGCCAGCAGCCGAAGGGAGGCTGGGTGGGCGCCAGCAGAGATGCGGCGTAGCAGCGCCGCCCGGCAGCGTGCGGTCGCGTTGCCATCCTCGGGTATCCAAGCGACGACGTGCTGCCCAGCCAATGTCTGCCAGGCGGCCTCGTCCCCCTTTTTCGAGCATCGTCGCCAACGCCCGCGTGTGGTCTCGGTCGTAGGCGCCAGCCTTGGCCGGACCCAGCAGAAATGACCACTGGGTGAACTACGGCGAGTGCCTCCGAGCCGAGCTCCTTTCAGAGAGGGAGCGTGCTGGCGCGGAGGCGGCGCCGCTCCTTGAGCACCTCTGGCAGCTCCTCCGTGCAGGCCGCGGCAGCCCTCTGGAAACTGCCGAGAGCAGCCTCAGCCTCCTGTTGGTCGGCGGGAGGCCAGGCAGCCTGACGACTGAGAGCACACAGTTGTACGGCCGTGCGCTCCCGCGCGGGCAAGGCCTGGGCCGTGGGCGCGGGGCCCTCCAGCGCTGCATACCCCAACTGCTGCCACGGGTCCGACGCGGACGGCGCGTAGCCGAGCTTGTGAAGGGTATTCTCGAGCGACCGCCAGTCCGACGGGTATTCGACCGCGAAGCCGTCGCCGTCCGTCCGGGTCTGTGTCGCGGCCTGGACGAGATTGAAGTGGCGGAGGGTCTCCTGCTCGAACCACTCCAGGAACAGCGGACCCGACAGGCCTCCAGGTAATGCTGGCACGTCCACGCCGTCAGCAAGCACAGGGCGCAGCGCCCAGCCATCACTATGCTGGAGGGGAGGAAGGATGAGACAGCAAAAAAGTCTGAATGCGCCCTGTGCGCGGGCACTTGGGGCCTTGAGCCTTAGATCGCCACCTACATGCTGCTGCTACCCGTCCTCGGTCATTCCTGAGCATTCCGAGACGCCGCCAGCGCGAAACGTGACGTCACTGGCCCCTAATTATCCCCCCCCCGCGGTGACGACGGTCATCGCCACGGAAAAAAGAAGCTCTAGAACACTTTCGGCGAGGCTTAGCTGCCAGAAAACATCGGAGATTCGAAATCAACGAGAACAGACGAAAACGTCTTAAAAACCTCGAAGCCCCAGAAATGCGACGACTGGTTTTTCTGAATGCGCCGTCTCCGGAAGTCCCGACCCTTCCCTCAGGGCCGAATTCTCTTCCCATGTCATTTTTGAAGGTCCAGCGGCCCAGCGAGGGCTCCCAGAGGCCGAGAAATTGCCAACAACTTCACGTCGTGAGTTTTTCACGACGCCATCACGTCTGGGACCTATAGTCTTGACCGCAGCCATCGCCGCGGCTTCCGCCGCCGCCCGAGATGCACTGGACGGCCGTGGAGGACCCACTTTGCGCGCAACGCATCAAAACCGTCCTTGAGGGGGAACGTCAGGGGGGCACCGGCTCAGGAGGGGAAGCATCGAGCTGGAATCGGCAATACATCGCCGACAGATCGGCGATAGAGCCCCGATGAGGGATCGGCACGCTCCTGGGCGGGGTGGGCCATCGGCCCCTATCGGCGAGCATTGTGCAGGTTGGGGGTCGATGCATCTTGGAAAGGGCCAAACGTACCCCCATGACGACGTACCCCCTGTGAGGTGTCGCAGCGGCCACGGTTCCAGCCACGGTGGCCGCCAAAGTGCAGCGGTTGGGCGCCCCGAGATGGGCCCTGAGGCCCCCTCTCCAGGGTACGTCTGTTCTCGGGTACGCTTGGCCATCCCTGAGCATCCGCCCTCCCCCTGAGGAGCCTTCCCCACCTAAGGTTGCCCCTGACTCCTTCCGTCTTTCTCGTCCGCCGTGTCCGGGGACAGGCCCACCTCCAGTCCAGCCCTGATGCCCACCAGGGAGCCCGAGTTCGCGTAGTCGATGAACACGCCTGCCTGCATGTCCACGTCGTTGAGCGCGTGGCAGAAGGTGTCGCTGCGGAAGAACGTCCCGATCCTGCGAGCGAGGCCCTCCTTGCCCTCCTGGGCTATCCACTCCGCCAGCTGCTGCGGGCTACGCACCCCATCCGCCTCGATGTCCTGCGCGAGCGCTTTGATGAGCGCGCCAGTGATGGCCTCGGAGAGACTCATGCCCGCGGCCAGTTCGATTAACAGTTCGGCATGTGCTGGCTCGAGCTGCTCGAGATCGAGCAAAGCAAGCTGCAGAAGTAATGCGAACGGTGAGGTAAGTATGACAGGGGGATCAGGGATGGAGGAATGGACACCGAAGATGGTTCAAGATGCTCCCATGCAAGAGGGGCCCACGAGGGCGAACCGAACTGATATTTCGAGCCCTTCCCGCAAAGATGACCTCCGCCACAGGCGCCCACGGCACAAGTGGCCCTAAAGATGCCTCCAGAGGCCCCAAGAGACACCAAAAATGCCCCCCGCGAGCACGCAGGCAAGTGCCAGCATTGCTACACTTGGGCCAGGAAAGTGAGCAACACTATTGCATAATCGGGCGGGCGGGGAGGCATGGTATGTGGGGATCTGGGATCAAGGGATACATAAAACAGCCTTTTCCCTCATCCTCTAAGTTTCAATCCTCACTCCTGAAGGGTCTTTACGGGGCCCGAATCCCAAATTGCGAATTCTCCTTGGGCTTCCCGCGTACTGCATGGGCTCTCCCGCGTGGTGGCGCGTGATTTCTGAGCTCCAGAGGGCCCCAAGACGGGCCAAGAGGGCCCCACGAGGCCCTCAAGACGGTCCAAGAGGGCCCCTGGACGCCGAAAGATCGTCCCAAAACGCGTAAGATGGCCTCAAGATGGCCAAAGAGGCCTCCAAGACGCTCCAAGAGGCCTCCCAAGAGGCACGCATCATTTATTTGTTCTAGGGTTTGAAAAGACTTTAGCGTTCTAGCCTGTTCGATCTTCCGACGCCCAACAGGACCCTCAAGACCTAGCCAAGACAGCCCAAAAGGCCTCCAATAGGGCCCCAAACCAGCAAAAGAGCGCCCCAAGACGGCCCAAGAGGTGTCCAAGACGGCCCAAGAGGGCCCCAAGACAGCCCCAAAAGAGGGAGCACGAACCGAACATCCGAGCACTCCGCCCCAATAGCCCCCCAGGAGGCCCCAAGAGGCGCCCAAGAGACCCCAAGAGGCCCCCAACAGTTCCTCGAGAGGCCCCAAGAGGCCCCCAAGAGGCGCCCAAGAGGGCCAAAAGAAGCCCCAAGAGGCCCCGAAACGGCCCACAAGAGGCCTCACAACGACCTCCAAGAGGCCCCCCACGAGATCCCAACGAACATCCGATAGACTGCGTACCCACTACACTGGCACGGGCCGACGGCCGTTAGATGATGAGGAGAAATGCGCGTGTGAGGACGACGTAACTTTCAATATAACGTATCAGACGCGTATGTGTGTTACGGCCAGGATGGATACTCTGTCGGAGTTGGTACATCTATGACTCTGATCTCCATGCAATCAATATGCCTCTCTATCAAACGTCCGCGATATGGGAGAGAAGCGCCTCAATGAAAACAACGGTGTGTCAATGCGACTGGTGTCATGCTCCATGGCTGGCGAGAGTTGGTACGCTTATATGCTTGAGCCTCAAGTACTAACAAATCTTATGGAGGATGAGCGACTCGTGATATACAACCAGAAGGTGGGACAATATAGCTCGCACGAGCCAGATCCCTGGCCATACAACAAGACCTGCCTTTGACTGGGGTGGGGACAGATAGGTAAAGCCGCCCAAAACATTCGCCTCCGTCTACTCCTCCTCCCCATCCTCCTCACCCATCGGTCCCAAGACCCCGTCCCCACGTCGAAACCGACCATGTTTTCAAGCCGCGTCCAGCCGTGGCGGCGAAAAGGCCCCTTCCTCCGCCCCCTTCTGATGGCCCGAACCAAGGCGGAGCCACCTCCGCTGCCGTCCTCATCGGCGGGCTCGGACTCCCCCGCTTCGCCCCTGTGGGGCTCTCCTGCTGTGGCTTCGCAGTGTAGTATGCGAGCCCTCGAGCCAAGCGCTGCTAGCGAAACTGAGACGCCAAGGATCCTCCTGCCCCCCCGTCCTCAGCTTGTGTTCTCATGCCCCTTTCCGCGCTCCCCACGACGCCAGCTGTCACACCAGCGGGAGAGGGCGCGCCGCGGGCCTTGCACCTCGCTTGGAGCATGACCGAGGGCTGGTCCGCCTCGCAGCCCGTGAGCTCCTGAGGATGCAAGACCCCAGGCCCAGACAGTCTGCGTCTCGAAAAAGGAAGGGCGGCCAGAGGGACACTTCACGATACCGTTGTTCGTCTTGGAGCACACTCGTCGCCACTGCTTGGTTCTCTTCGAAATCCTCGTCAGAACGCATCCCGGGGCAGGACAGGGGAGTGGTGGTATCGGTACCTTTTGGCCTCTCCAGCTGGCTCGGGGGAAAAAAAACTGACCATTTCTTCATGTTTCTGGCCTGTACATGCCAATGCTGGGACCGGGACCGTAAAACGACCCCGGATGAAAAACCAAAACCAAAAGCGTGGTTGGGCCCGCGTCTGAAAAAACGAGACGCCGCAGGTGTGGGAACGGGGTGGGGTCGGAGGATCGCGCCGCATCGTCGATGCATCGCTGATGCATCAGCGGTGCAGTGGAGACGGATCGGCGAGGCGGCGCAGTCCACCGACCCCATCAGTTTCGACTCCACTTGGGCGGCCTGGAGAGGAGGGGGCGACCAGAGAAGGAACTCGAGGGGTCGAGGTCGGACGACCGAAAGGGGTCTGGGTGTTTTGAACCTTCTTTGGGGAAAGACAAGCCCAGGTTCTCTCCCAGGTTGCGTGCTGATAGAATTCCGAGGGTACAGCGGTGGCGACACGGCGGGGCCCCACGAGATCTGTTGGCACTCCCAAGATGGGTACTCGCGGTAAGTTTTTAGACCCCCTCCAATAATGGAAAGTAAGTGTTGACGGCCTGGGGCCCCACCAATAATGGAAAATTGTTATTTTTCCGCGGCACCCGCCGCGCAACAACGACGACGACGACGAAATGAAATAGGAGATGGCGAGGAACGACTTCGGCAAATAATGTGTCGATCTATGTTATCCTCCCTTTTACGAACGTGCTCAAAATTCCTCCGTCGCGCAGGGTTGCCCCGGGAGCATTATGCCCTGGGAGAAAGACCCCCACAATATTATCCAACCCGCCCAAGACTGACGGGAAAGTGATCTCCGCCGAGACAACGACGACACTTACGCCTACGACAAAGACTACGACTACGATTACGATAACAACCACGACGACGACTACGACTACAAGTGAGACTACAATCGCGATTCCAATCGCGATTGTTACCACGATTACAATCACGACTGCAACCACAACCACTGATTCAGATTGCTATCCTTGTGAGATGATGCTGATAATTCCTTTCGCGTGTAGGGTGGACCACAATGGACTACTCCTTGGTGGACACCCCCCAAGCATATTACCCCGCCCGCCCAAAAATGAAGGAAACAAATCTCCACCGCTACGACAACAACGACGACGACTACGATGACGACCACGCGGGCCTCCCCGTCCTTCATCTCTTCGTCCTGCCTCTAATAATAAACGTAGTAGTAGCAGTAAGAATAATAAGAAGAAGAATCCGCCGGCCCCCTTGTGGGGCCACCAGGCTGTAGGCCGAAGGTTCGCAGTTTCGTGTACCAGTTGCAGCTTCCAGTTTCCACTGTTACAGTTCTGCTTCTTGCTGCTTACTGTTGCAGTTCTGCTTCTTGCTGCTTACTGTTCCTTGTTGATGGACCGCGCGAGGGGGGGAGGCTCAAAACGGGCATTTTTACCACGCCCTGAGCGTATGCTCTGAATTGCTGGAGTGGGTAAAAACTTACACCCCTCACGCAGATCGGCGGGGGCAGGGTCCAAACACACGAAGAGGATTTGCCACATTTCTGAAATTTGCTGGCACCCCTCACGCAGATCGGCGGGGGCAGGGTACAAAACAAAATGGGATTTGCGACATTTCTGAAATTTGCTGGCACCCCTCACGCAGATCGGCGGGGGCCAGGGTCCAAAAACACAAAGGGGATTTGCCACATTTCTGAAACTTGCTGGCACCCCTCACGCAGATCGGCGGGGTCAGGATCCAAAAACACGGGAGGATGTGCCACATTTCTGAAATTCGACGGCACCCCTCACGCAGATCGGCAGGGTCAGGGTCCAAAACCACATGGGATTTGCCACATTTCTAAAATTCGGCGGCACCCCTCACGCAGATCCGTAGAGTCAGGGTCCAAAACCACATGGGATGTGCCACATTTCTAAAATTCGACGGCACCCCTCACGCAGATCGGCAGGGTCAGGGTCCAAAACCACATGGGATTTGCCACATTTCTAAAATTCGGCGGCACCCCTCACGCAGATCCAGAGGGTCAGGGTCGAAAAACAAACAGGTCCCGACACTGCTTCACGGCAGCGCCCAGACCTCATGATTGAGCCTTTGCATCTCCCATTATCCGAGACAGGGGGCCGGCGGCATGGGGCGAAGCCCTTACGGATAATCGTAGTAGTAGGTGGAAGCAGTAGGTGGTAGTAGTAGTCGTAGTAGTAGTAGTAGTAGTAGTAGTAGTAGTAGCAGTAGTAGACAAAGTAGTAGTAGTAAAAGGAGTAGTAGTAGTCGTCGTAGTAGTAGTCGTAGTAGTAGTAGTCGTAGTAGTAGTAGTAGTAGTAGTAGTAGTAGTAGTAGTAGTAGTAGTAGTAGTAGTAGTAGTGTAGTAGTAATAATAGTAGTCGTAGTGGTGGTAGTAGTAGTAGTAGTAGCAGCAGTAGTAGTAGTAGTACTACTGGTACTGGTACTAGTACTAGCAGTAGTAGTTGTAGTAGTAGTAGTAGTAGTAGTAGAAGTAGTAGTAGTAGTAGTAGTAGTAGTAGTAGTGGTAGTAAGAGTAGTAATAGTAGTAGTAGTAGTAGTCGTAGTAGTAGTCGTCGTAGTAGTAGTAGTCGTAATTTTAATAATAATAGTAGTGGTAGTGGTAGTAGTGACAGCAGTAGCAGTAGTTGTAGTAGTTACAGCAGCAGCAGAAGTAGTAATAGTAGTAGTAGTCGTCGTAGTAGTAGTAGTAATAGTAGTAGTAGTAGTAGTAGTAGTGGTAGTCGTAGCCGTAGTAGTAATTAAAAATATTAGTAGTGGTAGTAATAGTAATAGTAAGCGTAGTAGTAGTAGTAGTAGTAGTACCAGTAGTAGTAGTAGTAGTAGTAGTAGTAATAAGTGCAGTTAGTAGTAGTAGTAGTAGTAGTAGTAATAGTAGTAGTAGTAGTAGTAGTAGTACTAGTAGTAGTAGTAGTAGTAGTAGTAGTAGTAGTAGTAGTAGTAGTAGTACTAGTAGTAGTAGTAGCCGTTGCAGTAGTAGTGATAGTAGTAGTGGCAGTAGTAGTACTAGTAGTAGTAGTAGTAGCAGTAGTAGTAGTAGTAGTGGTGGTGGTAGTAGTAGTAGTAGTAGTAGTGGTGGTGGTAGTAGTAGTAGTCGTGGCAGTGGCAGCAATAGCAGGCGGACTTGTCATAGCCGCAGCCGTATCCGTAGTCGTAGTAGTAGCGGTAATCGTAGTAGTAGTCGTAGTAGTGGTAGGAGTACTTGTAGTAGTAGTAGTAATAATAATAGTCGTAGTACTAGTAATAGTAGTAGCAGTAGTCGTAAAACTTATAAGTGTAGTAGTAGTCGAAATAATAATAGTAGTAGCAATAATACTGGTAGTACTAGTGGTGGTAGCAGCAGTGGTAGTAGTAGTACTAATAGCAATAGTAGTCGTAGTACTAGTAGTAGTAGTAAGAGTACTAATCGGAATCGCAAAAGTGACAGAAATAGAAGTGGAAAAACAATCGTAATAGTAGTCCTAGTCGGCTTCGTAGTCGTAGTAGTAGTAGTAGTACTAGTAGAAGTAGGTCATCGTAGTAGTAGCAGTAGTAGTAGTAGTAGTAGTAGAAGTCGCAGTAGTAGTAGTAGTAGTAGTAGTAGTAGTAGTAATAGTGGTGATAACAGTAGTAGTAGTCGTAGTAGTCGTAGTAGTAGTAGTAGTAACAGAAGTACTAGAGGTAGTAGTACTAGTGGTCGTAGTGGTAGTGGTAGTAGTAGTACTAGTAGTAGTAGAAGTAGTAGTAGTAGTAGTAGTCGTAGTAATGGAATGCGTCGTAGAAATAATAATAATAATAGTAGTAGTAGTACTAGTAGTAGCACTAGTGGTAGTAGTAGTCGTAATCAAGTACTAGTAGGGTGAATGGTGGTAGTATTAGTAGTAGTAGTAGTAGTAGAAGGCGAAGAAAAAATAGTAGTTGAAGTAGCAGTAGTAGTAGTAATAGTAGTAAAGGTAGTATTAGTGATGATATTAGTACATAGTCCAATAAATAATAATAGTAGTAGTCGTCATAGTACTGGTCGTTAGTAGTAGTAGTAGTAGTAGTAGTCGTAGTAGTAGTAGCAATAGTACTAGTAGTAGTAGTAGTAGTAGCAGTAGTAGAAGTAAACATGTTGGCAGCAGTCGTAGTAGTAGTAGTAATAATATATCTTGTAGTAGTGGTAGTAATGGTAGTCGTAGTAGTAGTAGTAGTGGTCGCAGTAGTAGTAGTAGTAGTAGTAGTAGTACTCGTAGTAGTAGTACTAGCAGCAGTTATGATTATACTATTACTACTAATAACGGAAGGGATAATAGTAGTAGTAGCAGTCGTAGTAGTAGTAGTAGTAGTAGTAGTAGTAGTAGTACTAGTACTAGTATTAGTATTAGTATTAGTAGTAGTAGTAGTAGTAGTAGTAGTAGTAGTAGTAGTAGTACTAGTACTAGTAGTAGTAGAAGTAGCAGTAGTAGTAGTAGTAGTAGCAGCAGCAGCAGCAGTAGTAGTAGTAGTAGTAGTAGTAGTAATAGTAGTAGTAGTAGTAGTAGTAGTAGTAGTAGTAGTAGTAGTAGTAGTAGTACTCGCAATAAAAATATTCTTCAACGATAAACGACTAAGCGCGGACCCCACCTCACACGTCGGGCAATCATGGGCCCCCCGGCGGATTGCACCGGTGCAATCGCGAGGGCTTAACCTCGTACGCGCTGCGCGAGAGGGCCGAACGCCGCCGCACACGTCCCGCACGACAGGAGAGGGGGCGAGGAGGACGAGGAAGAGGAGGAGGAGGGAGGACACGGAAAACGAAGAGGACGACCATCGCCCAAAAAAAAGGGGGCGACGCTAGAACGTAGATAC